ACACACGTCATTTGTTCCTGCCTAGCCAGACTGCAGCTTGCACTAAGCAGCAAACAATCCCAGCGCAAGAGTCGGCTCAGACCTTCACTGGGCTGTCCCAATGCCGGCGGGGGGAGTCGGAGGAAAAGGGTCCCCAGCCTCAAGTGTAATCACTCTCAGTTTCGCTGCTCAAAGCTGGAGTCGGCCCCGGCCAAAGCGCAGAGATGGGGCACAAGAGACGAGACCGATGGCAGGTTCCAGGCTGCCATTCATACACTTCTCTCCAGAGTCTTGGGGAGATCAGCCACTTGTGCAGTATGCAGCAAGTTAAAAAACACCAAGCCAGGTCCGTGTCTGCAGGAGATTCTGGAATCACCCACCGCTCAGGCCCCCTAGATCAGAACACCCGTCTGTGACGGGGCAAAGCAGGCACTGTCATGGAGTCTCTCCAGGAGAGCTCTCTTTGAGGCACCTTGGCTGGCACACAACAGGTGGTGAGGGGGAGATCAGGGCTATTTTCCCAGCCAGGGTGGGCGTGAAGAGGGCACTTTGGCACATACTGTGGTAACAAAGCAACACCACTGGCCTCATCAGGCGGTAGCAGCCCTTCCTCAGTCAGTCTTGAGGAGAGGGGTCGGATCAGCCGCCCTGGGGAACCCGGCTGTCCTAGGCAGATCCCACTAACACGTCCTTTCCCTTTCACCCAATGGGTCTCAATCCGTGCTCTCCCCGGCCCTCTCACCCTTAGCCCCTCTGCTACGGCAGAGAATGGGGCTATTGACAGCGATGATCATTGCCCACAGACCAGCAAATACAGTGAATCCTTAACGATCCTGCATCTCTGGCTCTCAGCCACGAAGCGCTCCAGATTCCATCAGCCCAGAACCACCCGCTGATATGGAATCCCACCAACCCCCCCGTGCCCTCAGGAGTCACTGTCTACAGCTTGTCCTGTTGACTGGAAGCAATTCCCCACACCCCTGCTGCTGCCTCGAGACACCTCCCTCCCCACCTGAGCCCAGCACTGAAGAGACACCAGCTCAGCCCAGGAAAGGGGCAGCCGGGTATTGGCAGAACTGGGGTCTAAAGCAATGGCAACTCCTGCTCAACTCCAGTCCTGAGGAACCAAGCCAATCGCTTCCTCCTACGCGCAGCAGAAGGCGCAGTCCTTCCCCACTGCCAAGGTGCCCGCAGTCCCTGCCACGCTCAGATCCATGGTCCTGCTGCACTTAAGGTACCAGTGAAGCGAAGATCTCAAACCAGAAAGGCAAAACAGGACAGTGAGAAAAGGCACCAGAGGCAGGGAAATCACAGAAGGGGAAGAATCCACTGAGAAGCAGAACTGGGTTTTTCTTCCATGATCTGAAGGAAACTGGCCTGTGATCTGATCCATGAGACCTGAAGTAAGAGGTGCTAATTGGAACAGGGCAGCAAAGGAAGTGAATGTCATCCACATACAGAGGCTTCCATTGCTATCCGGAGCAAAGGGGATGCCGTGGAAAGGGGGGCAAATTATACACACAGCCCTAAGCAAAACCAAGCCACACGGCTGGACCCAAAGCCAAGGCTCTCCCGCCCCAGCCGCACTGCAGCAGTAAACAGCGAAGAGGTTGCTTTTCCTCCAGGGGTCAGTATGGAGGCCAACGGGAGCCAATTCACTGCTGCACAGGGGGCCAGAGCGTGGAGAGTCCCTGGAGACATGGGGGGACATTCCCCATCTTCTCTACTAAAAGACAGTGGAAACAAGGCGCTAAAGGGGCAGCAGGACACAGCAAGGCTGCGGCCAAGGTCCAAGCAGGCCAAGAGCTGATGTTAAGGCACATAGGAGGTGTCTCCTTTGACAAAAATGCAGAAGAGAGGAGAGATTCAGGACCAGGAGCAAGTTGGTTGCAGGCCAGGGGATCCTGCCCACCTATCATTGGCGACGGTCAGAACCAGAGGCTGCTTTACTGATGGGACTAGGTACCGAGACCACCGGCTGCTCCCCTCAGCTGCCATCCACCATGCCCTGCTTTGCTCTTCCTTCATCCCATCCTTGGGGATGTGGATTTTGGCACAGGCTGGTGGCTGTAGAACCCCTTTTCCCCCAAGCCAAGGGGTTCAAGTCCATAGAGAATCAGTTTTAACCCATCCCATCAGTCAAACCTGTGACCCACCCCCCACCCGCCCCATGCCCTCTGGCTCCAATGCACCTAATGTGAGCTCTGGTACAAAGCAGGCCCATTTAATCCCGCTAAAGGAAGCCCAGAAGAGAAGCTGCAGCGATTGGACAGAGCTATACACAGTTGAGCTATCAGGTGCTGGGGTGTTTGGCTTTGAATTCACCAGCCTCAGGACCAGTCTGGCTCTGTACCTGCCCCCCCACAGGAGATACGGAGTCCATTTCTCTCCCGTTCACGCTACGTTCGGACGTGCCTCTTGTCTTCAAAGAGGCTCTTCAGCATGTAGACCTGGAGGAAAGCCACCACCACCAGCACCCCCAGGTTAACGGCTGACCAGAAGTTGACACGGCTCATGTTGCTCTCCTGCAGGTTGCGGTCTCTGGCTTCGAAGGCTCGCAGCAGCGTCTGCATCTGGATGCTCCGCTCCAAACGGTTCTTCATGGTCTCAATGGATTCCTGGAAGACAGGAAGGGGATCAGGCGGGGAGGGGGATAGCAGCTACTGCGCACAGGTGTGGGAAGTGCAGCCCTTCAAGGCCAGAAGGGATCATGAAGATACAGCCTGCCTTCCGGCACCACCCAGGACACAGAACTTCACCCAGTGGTTCCCACAATCAAAGCCCTACTAGCAAGAGGCTCTGCACTGCATTTCCCAATGCCCGAGGCCCCAATGCCCCCCACCTTAATATCTTCTATCTTCATATCCAGCATCTCCTCCGGCTCCACCACCTCAGCCCAGTTATCCCCGTCCTCGTCCTCCTGGGGGCTGTCGAAGATGAGCTCGAAGAAAACCAGCTTCTCCGAGATAGTGCTGAAGGAGTTATCAAAACAGAGTTTGTAGTCGCCTGCTTCCGTGGGCTCAATGCTGGGGAAAGAGGTAAAAACCGTGAGGATGAGCCAGTCCCGCACTCAACGCTCATGGGGCCAAGGCAAACAAGCCGTCACTGGGGCATGTAGCTCTGTTGGAAAACAAGTATAACTGCACAGTTATGCCACCAAAGGCAGTGAAACCACAGCGGCTGAGGGAAAATGCGGGACTCTGGACTGGGGGAAATAATGAGGTCCACAGAACCCGTGGTGGGGTGGATTGAGGAAATGGGATCACAGAGAACCTGGCACGGGGGGAATGGGGGACACAGGGAATCCACAGAACCCCTGGTGGGGGTGGAGACTGGGGAGACCCTGAAAGAGAGGGGGACAGGAGGACGGCGTGCGGGGAGCGTGAGGAGGGCAACGGGGAAAAGCAAGGAGACCCTGGGGTGTGCGATGAGCTCAGCTTATACAGGCTAAGAGCCGTGTGCCCCCCCCGTGACCGGGCTGGCAGGGGAGTTTGGAGGCGCCTGGGGGGTGGAAGAGGCAGAGCCAGCAACACTCACGTGTGCACCCCGTCCGATTTCCGGTACTCGTTGATCAGCAGCACGCCCGAGGGGCTCTCCAGGGAGAAGTCGATGTCCAGGCCTGCACCACCGATAACCTGTAGGGCACAACCACAGGGTGAGTGACAGGGTCACGCTGCCGGGGGGTGAACGGGCCCCAGCACAGCCTAGGGACCACTCGGGGCTCAGTTCCAGTGACTGGCTCGCGGCCTCCACCCTGGGCCCTGGCCCATCCCCACCACTGTGGTGACCCCCCACCCGAGACCCAGCCTGGTCCCCCGCTGCTTCACCTCCCCCCCCAGCCCCCTGCAGCCCCAGATGCTAGTCCACTGACACACCCCTAGCCCAGCCCTGCCCCATCCGCTCACCAGGCCTTCCCCCCCCCCCCGATACCACCGAGCCCCCTTGGTCCTAGCTCCCCTCCTCTTACCCCCCAATTCCCTCATATCCCAGACCCCAAATACCCGCTGCCCTCCTCCCCATTGACATACCCCCATTCTCCTCCCCCCAGCCCATTATCAACCCCCCTTCCCATCCCCCCGCCAACGCCCCCCAGCCCACAACATCCCCCTCAACCACAGCATCCCC